CGGTCATTTCAAGCCAAAGCCTAGGATGATAAGCAGGATCAATAAACTCGACCGAAATCCCCTCGAAGCACAGTTTCCAAAACTGGAAAACGAGGCTTGGCATACAGCCGAATCGATCTGATTGCATCTACGCGTCCAGGTTCAGTGTTTTGTCTTTAATATTTTCACAAAACAACACAAAACGAGCAAGGATGTAGGAACTTCGGCGGGAAGAAAGGCGGAGAATTCATGAGAGGTGTGATCCTTCCCCCCCGCCGAAAACGTAAAATGTCACCCGGGTTTCTGTTAGCAGAGTCGTTTCCTGTGGAGTTCGAAATCCGTGGCTTTTCCGTTTCGTTTCGCATTCCATAGTAAAACAGAATAAATGACAATTATCACCGCCAGGCGCACCCAGAAGTTCGGTCCTGCTGGCCGGCGAAAGGATAGTCTGAAAACTGCAGTTTGCGTGCACGATGAAATAGCAGCAACGATAATATCTACAGGGCCACCGTATCATATCTTACGCATATGATGGGCTATCTTGTTAGAATCGCAGGGGCGCAGGAAATCGATGTGTAATTTGATATTTTTCTAACTGCGGAAAAGAGGGAGCTCTAGAATGAACAGTTTGTGGACAGGGAAAAGGACGTCTCCTCGTCTCCGACGCTGTCAATAACACCAGGGAACAGCGAGGGAGGGCTTTCCTGCGCGTGTTTTTGAATGTAGTCCTGTCCACGAGGCTCACCCACGCCCAGGCCACGCCCCCAGGAGGGCGGGGCTGGCCTACATTCTGCCTCCACGCAGCTGCGGGACTCGCGCCAGTGGGGAAAGGAATAATACAAACTAGGAGGGATATCGGCTGAAATCCACTCGCGGAGCTCACTGGAGAAACACCGGACTGCTAAGGTCTCGAGCAGACGCTTGTGATGAAAGAAGTTGTTCTTCTGGCAAACATCTCGGTGGATGCGGGAAATAATAATATTAGTATTTATTTTAAACAACCGAGGTTCTCGGAAATCAAGACGTTGATCCAGTTTCAGAAGCCATTTCGCAAAGTCGTTGGGAGTTAATACTTGAAACCACTCGCCTGCTCTGCTGAACCGAGCTATGCTGGGCGGATTTCGTGCGTGAAGTGGACGTTCCATTTTTTTACCGTGGGAGTTAGCATTTTCCGTCACTCGGACATGACGCGGAGGGGAGCGGCCGCCGGGCTTGTCTGCTTATTGTGGGGTGAGTCTCGCAGCAAAGCCCGTCGGCTCCGTCTGTTACATGTAGCCCTGTGCGACCGTGTACCTACTGTGGACAGACCCGGCGCCACCGCAGTGTGCTATGGTCTACAAATCTGTGTATATGCGGGCAGGGTGCACTAGGCTCTGACGTGGGTGGACAGACGCACATTCGTGTGCTCTAATCCGATTTGTGATTCGCGAGGCTTGTTAGGAGCGAATATTGCACGTCGACCTGTATCACGAAGGAATTTCTACACAGAGGAGTGGGTAAGAATTCCTTGCGATCATCCGCCTGTCGGTTTCCGAGGTGCGCATTGCCTGACCCGCTCTAAATGAGGGGTTCCCCACCCTAACCTGGGGACCTCACCCGCCCCGCCCCGCCCTTCCTCAAACCTGCTGGGTCCTGCTTGACCTCACTGAATCCTGTGTGGGCCTGACTTGATCTGATCTGCTTGATCTGAACCTTTGCAAGTGATCCCTTTTCTAGAGCGCGGTGTCGTGGTTAAAGTACAGCCCCCCCACCTGTGGACTTGAGCGAGACCTGGCAGGTCAGGGGCTCCCCAAGAGCAGGGCTGGGTACCCCTATCTGAGTCCAGTTGCCCCTTATGATGAGAGAGCAAACCCAGTCATCACCTGTTTGCTCTCCACTTCGGAATCGGACTTGCACTGTGATCAATACAAATACATCATTTTATCCAATTATATTCCATATAAGTGGTATATTGATTAAATTACATTGTTAATTTATCATCAGTTAAATGCATGCTAAATATAAATGGAGCGTGGGAGAGTACAGGCACCCTGCTTGTTAAATGTTTCATTCTGAACACATTACACTGAGAGGGCTCAACATATGTGTAGGCTAGGTAGTTTTTGTCTGTCAGGTCTTACCAAGTTAACCTCAGTCCTGACACTGACATGATGTTGTTAGGCTCTGTCCGCATGTGTTTGTTTCTGTACCCTGAGAAAAACAATATGACAGATTTTGCGCTTGAGGAACATACCTCTGGGAGGCTCAGTGGTCAGCATTGCTGTTTCACAGCGCAGGGGTCCCGGGTTCGACTCCACACCTGCTGTCTGTATGGAGTTTGTATGTTCTCCCTGTGTTCATATGGGTTTCTTCCAGGTGCTCCGGTTTCCTCCGGTATAGACATACTGGTTGTCTTCTGGGAAAAACTACCCTGGTGTGTGTGTGTCCTGTGATGGACTGGTGTTGCCTGCTGGGATAGGCTCCAGCTCCCCTGCGACCCTGTATTTGATCATTCGATTAGAAAATGGATGGATGGGAAAAAGACGCCCTTCTTATTCATTTCCTGCCGTTGTAATATGACTTGAGTTGGCCGTGTGCTGAAAATCTGCACTCAAAGCCAGGTTGATGCCATGGCTCCGGGTCTTGCAGGAAGCTGGAAAGCACCCAGCAGGCCCTGAGTCCCCTGTTAGGTCAGACATGATGTCCCTGCTGCCCTTCCGGAACAGCAGCTGGTTTTTCCAGTCCAGCCTGAAGCAATCAGGCTTGGGTTTTCAAGGATGACATCAGCAGGTAAAGGGGAATTTGGAACCCAGAACAGCAGAAGCAGAAGTAAGAAATCTGGCCGAGCTCGGCTGCGCTGTGTTTGTCAGCCCGTGACGTCATGGGGAATGGTGGGACAGTCCATGCCTGTAGAAGGAACAGCACAGCACGAGAACACACACACACACACACACACACACACACACACACACACACACACACACTCTCTCTGACATAAAGAAAACAGCCCAGCTGTTTTGATTTGCATCTCCTTAAGAGTCTTGTCCTGTACCCTCCCTGTTGTAAAGTCACCTTTTCTACCTGTCAGGTGTCGCTGATCTCTGCAGGTTTGCACGGTGAAAGTCCTCTCAGCCTGCTGAGACTCTTACTCAGTCTTCTTAGGGCTCAGTGGTGATGTATGTGAAGCATGGAGAGAAAATTTGTGGCCTCAGGATATTTTATGTCTGACATGCTTGGGTATTCAAATCTGAACTCTGATTTGTTCAGGATTATTAAATATGCTTATTTAATTATTTGCTATCCTTATAACTGTGTTTTACACCTACTGTAAAAGCACTTTGAGATTCTACTTTTACTATTTTTTAGAGGCTCTATATGAAATACACTTTATTATTATGCTCAGGTTAATTGGTGTTTTCTGCTCATGCTGAAATGGGATGGCCGTGTGGGTTTGGGTAATAGATTTCTTCCTTTTCCTTGATAAGTGTGGAGGGCCATCTTTAAACAAACAAAAAAAAAGACAGCAGTGCTATCTACTGTAGGTATGATGGATGTCCCAGTCGCTCTTTGCTTCTCTCGGTTTGTCAGAAATTTGCTCCGATTCTGACCCCTGAAGTTCAGCGTTGTCCCCTCACGCTCTCCCTCTTCCGTGTCTCTCTCTGTGTGTGTGTGCGCCTGTCCACAGCGGTCTGCGAGTGTCGCCAGGTCACTCTTCCCCCCGGACCCCTGTACCGCGTAGCGGGGTTCCCGCTGTCCCTGCCCTGCTCCGTGACGGGGTACGAGGGGTCCCGCACTCAGGATTTCGAGTGGTTCCTGATCCGGGAGGACGCAGGAGGCCGCCAGATCGGCGTGATCTCCACCCGGGACAGGAGGTTCCCCTACGCCCCTTTCCAAGCGCGGGTGCGCTCCGGGGAGGTGCGCGTGGAGCGGGACAGCGGCGACAGGGTGCGGCTGGTCATCCAGAGGTTGCGGCCAGAGGACCAGGGCACATACGAGTGCTACACCCCCAGCACTGATGCCCGCTACCAAGGCAACTACAGCTCCAGCGTCCTCGTCAATGGTAACCTCCTCTACCTTACTGCTTCAGGACAGGGGAGCTTGCTGAGCCTGCCTAGTTGTTAAAAAAAAGACTCCTCCACGCAGGACTGAGAACTATGGGAGGGTAGAGTACAAACCTTTCTTTCTGAACGAGAGAAAGAATGAAGATCATCCTGGCGGCGTTTTGCCGGTTCACAGCTTGATGACCCCGGGAAGGAGGATCAAGCAGCAGCGTGCTGGTTGGTTTCACTCCCAGCCACTTCTCTTGTCAGACACAAGATGAGGTTTCGTCCAGCTCGGGGGCCAGTCTGCTGGCCGGAGGGAGGAGCCACTCCTTCACTCTGAGCTCCACTGTGGAGCTGATTTGTCACATGGCAGCGCAGGGGGGCGTCGCTGCAGACCTGAGTCTTCACAAGACATTTTGATTCCAAATTTAGTGGGCTCTCATATATATATATAAACAACTTGCTATTCCAGTTTGAAGGTAATTGCAGCGTGGAGTCCGACATCCTAGGTTTACCGGCAGTGCAAGGCTAGAAGGAGAGCTAGAGAGATCTTGGGGTTTAATTAACACCTCATTGAGCTTCTGTCTGCGGACTCTGTACAGTTCATCAGCCAAGCCCGTGGGTGGTGCTGTGCTGATAAGACTGCCCTGCAGTGTGAGTCACCTCTCCCTCTCCTTGACTCTCTCTCCACAGTGATCCCCGACACGCTCCAAGTCAGCCACACCTCCTCCCGCTCCCTGAGTGGCCAGGCCCTGACCGAGGGGGCGGAGCTGCAGCTGACATGCTCCGCCTCCGTGCAGTCTCAGCAGCACACCCACGTGTCCGTCACCTTCGGCGTGCGGGGGGCGGGGGAAGGAGCCGGGGGCAGCCCGGCGGGGGGGCACAACCTCAGGGAGGTCATCTCCATCGACAAGCACCTGAGCGTGGTCCCCGGGAGGGGAGGGGATTACGAGAGGCGGTACACGGACGGGACGGTGTCGCTGGAGAAGAGGAGCGAGGGGGAGCAGGACCAGTACGTGATGCGGATCAGCTCTGTGGTGCCCAGCGACACTGGGTCCTTCTTCTGCGAAGTGATCCAGTGGATCCAGGATCCCCAGATGACCTGGCAGAGGATTGCCCAGAGAACCCTGGAGCTGGGAAATGTCACCGTCCAGCCTTTAGGTGAGTGAGAAGAGCTACATACAGTATAGGGACAGACATTTAGCTGCATTAAAACTTCATGGGGCAGTGCGGTGGCTCTGTGGCTAAGGATCTGCACCTGTGGCTGGAAGGTTGCTGGTTCGTACCCCGCGTCTGGCAGAGGAATCCTACCCCGTTGGGCCCCCGAGCGAGGCCCTTAACCCCAACTGCTCCAGGGGCGCTGTACGATGGCTGACCCTGCGCTCTGACCCCAAGCTTCTGTCCCTGTCTGTGCGTCTCATGGAGAGCAAGTTGGGTTATGCGAAAAGACAAATTCCTAAGACAAGAAATTGTATATGGCCA